GTGCACTGACAAGGGTAACGTCGCAAGAAACATTCGCCAAACCTGGAAAAATTGAAAGCCGGACAGGAGGTCGTGCTAGCAAGAAACGTCAGAGCACCACCTCTGCAACAATTTCTCCCGCGTTACGACCAAAAATTTCCCCGAGTATAAGTCCATTGGCTCCTGCGGCTGGTAAGTCTCTACGCATACTTGGTCAGGTACATAGTGAGCTGACTATTGGCAGGTCCGGGTATGTCACATCTTTCAGCGGAGACGAGCGCATTATATCTTGCCTCGAAGTCAAATTATCAAAACATACTCGAGGGCACACATCTTCCGGGAGTTTCGTATCCCGAGACCTTGGCTGAAAACTTGACGTCGAAGCGAACGTCGCACAAAATCGCCGAGCAGGGCCGCCGGAATAGAATCAATCTTGCATTGAAAGAAATCGAGGCACTCCTGCCCGCGTCCATCCTCGTGGCCAACAACAAGAAAGACAAAGCATCCAAAGACGAGAACGAGGACGGAGAGTCATCGGCAACCGCGACATCTAAGCCCACAGCGCCTGGACAAGGTACAAGCAAGGCGAGCACGGTTGAAATGGCTATTGTCTACATCAAGAGCTTACAAAACGAATTAAAAGAGACCAAAGAGCGACTTGAGGTGGCTGAGAAGAAAGCTGCCGAAGTGAGCAACAGGGAGAGCAGTACAGAATGCCAAGGCACTTTGGAAGAGTAGGACGTATAGAGAACGACCCCAGAGTTTTGGTTATGGCTTAATGGCGTGATGGGTTTATGAGTTCCAGACCGCAACGAAGGATAAATCTTCTCCAGGAGGCAGCAGGACTTGAATGTCTAGTCGGGTTTTGGGGGAATGAAAGGAAGTATAGGGATTGCTAATCTTGTGATATATGCAGAATCGATAGATAGTTCTGATTCTACCAAACCATCTTGCGCATCAACAATGACGGATGGGTGGGTGGTTGTTTGGCTATGCTTTTATATGCATGCATTGAAAGCACGGTATGGGTGCTGCTCAAAAAAGGGAATGTGAATATCAATTGTGAGTCTCTTTACCAATTTACGCGCAAGTCACATTGTATGACTAGAGACTACCTTCCTCTCCGGAGCACGATTAGAGAGCTAGACAGACACACACAAATCCAAGGTCTCTGGTCCCCGCAGGCTTGTTCGAGCACCGAACACTGTGGAAGATACGAGGACAGACGGGCGGCTCCTCAAGGCTGCAAGATTCGAGAAGGCTCGTTCACCAGCCTATGGTGGCCAGGCAACGCCTTGCTGGTGGGTCGATTTGGCGGATTTTTGTCTGACAGAAAGGGCCGACAGTGGCGGCGAGGCGGGCCTTAGGCTGTTGTCAAAGGTATTGGTTAAAGACAACAGTAGACCCATTGCTTGTGAGATTAGAAGCCCTAACCCTGGACCTCTGAATGGTGAAGCAAACATTTTAGGTCGGCTGGATGGGCTCAACAGGCAAATAAGCCTTCTGCAAGCACTCGATATCAAGAATCTTCTGGCTTTCTGTCAGACGCACTGGCTTTTCGTCTGACAGCGCTTATTCAAGGTGCGGGCCTGCGTCTTGGCAATGGACGCTGTGGGGGCATTCACTGCAGAGGAAAAAAGAACCATATGGAAGCTCCCCCAGGGTTGACTGCGGCTAAGTTTATAAGGCATAAACACTTTCCAGCCTTCCCTTCCTTTCCTCAGACCATCACACTGAAATTTTCTTCCACTCTTACTCCCACTTTAATAGGACAGTCTGCTCACCTGTCTCTTGAACACGACCACATTATTCCTGTAAGTTGAACCCCCATCATACCTGTCCGCATTGATCCAGTGCTGCCTGCCTCAATTGACGCTGGCTTCTCCAATTGCGCCGTCGCCTGTAGCAAGGGAGACCGGGTTTGCAAGCCTGCACTTGGTTCAGCCCAGACTCATCCTCATTTCATCTGTACTGACTTCTCCTCCCACAGACCTCCTCTCTTACAGACAATACCGCAGCCATGGCCTCTGAAAGCTTCGAGTTTCAGGCTGAAATCTCCCAACTCCTCTCCCTCATTATCAACACCGTCTACTCCAACAAAGAGATCTTCCTCCGAGAACTGATCTCCAATGCCTCGGATGCTCTTGACAAGATCCGATATGAGGCCCTCTCAGATCCCAGCAAGCTGGACTCTGGCAAGGACCTCAGAATCGACATCATCCCAGACAAAGAGTCCAAGACCCTCACCATCCGTGATACTGGTATTGGCATGACCAAGGCTGTAAGTTCTCCCCCTTTGACGCCGGAATACAAGTACCGTGACTGACCATTCTCAATAGGATCTCGTCAACAACCTCGGAACCATTGCCAGGTCAGGTACTAAGCAGTTCATGGAAGCCTTGACTGCGGGTGCCGATATCTCCATGATTGGTCAATTCGGTGTCGGTTTCTACTCAGCTTACCTAGTCGCCGACAAGGTAACTGTCGTGTCAAAACACAATGACGACGAACAATACATCTGGGAGTCCAGCGCAGGTGGTACTTTCACCATCACCCACGATGAGAGCGGCGAGCCTCTTGGTCGTGGCACCAAGATCATTCTCCACCTCAAGGACGAGCAAACCGACTACCTGAACGAGTCCAAGATCAAGGAAGTTGTGAAGAAGCACTCTGAATTCATCTCCTACCCCATCTACCTCCACGTCCTCAAGGAGACCGAGAAAGAGGTTCCTGATGAGGATGCTGAAGAGGTTGAGGAGGATGAGGAGAAGAAGGCCAAGATTGAAGAAGTTGATGACGACGAAGAGGACAAAGAGAAGAAGCCCAAGACCAAGAAGGTCAAGGAGTCCAAGATTGAAGAAGAGGAGCTCAACAAGACCAAGCCCATCTGGACTCGCAACCCCTCCGACATCACCCAAGAAGAGTATGCTTCCTTCTACAAATCTCTCTCCAACGATTGGGAAGACCATTTGGCAGTGAAGCACTTCTCCGTCGAGGGTCAGCTCGAGTTCCGCGCAATCCTCTTCGTCCCCAAGCGTGCTCCATTCGATCTCTTCGAGACCAAAAAGACCAAGAACAACATCAAGCTCTATGTTCGACGCGTCTTCATCACCGACGATGCCACTGACTTGATTCCCGAATGGCTCGGCTTTATCAAGGGTGTCGTCGACTCGGAGGATTTGCCGCTCAACCTGTCCCGTGAGACTCTGCAACAGAACAAGATCATGAAGGTCATTAAGAAGAACATCGTCAAGAAGTGCCTCGAGCTCTTCAACGAGATCGCCGAAGACCGTGAGCAGTTCGACAAGTTCTACTCTGCCTTCAGCAAGAACATCAAGCTCGGCATCCACGAGGACTCGCAGAACCGCCAGTCCCTTGCCAAGCTCCTCCGATTCCAGTCCACCAAGTCTGGCGAAGAGGCCACTTCGCTCACTGACTATGTCACCCGCATGCAAGAGCACCAGAAGCAAATCTACTACATCACGGGTGAATCCATCAAGGCCGTGCAGAAATCACCCTTCCTTGACTCTCTCAAGGAGAAGAATTTCGAGGTCTTGTTCTTGGTTGACCCGATTGACGAATATGCCATGACGCAACTTAAAGAGTTTGATGGCAAGAAGCTCGTCGACATCACCAAGGACTTCGAGATGGAAGAGACCGAGGAGGAGAAGAAGGAGCGCGAAAAGGAGGAGAAGGAGTTTGAGGGTCTGGCCAAGAGCCTGAAGAACATCCTCGGCGATAAGGTTGAGAAGGTTGTTGTCTCTCACAAACTCGTCGGCTCTCCTTGCGCTATCCGAACCGGCCAATTCGGTTGGTCTGCCAACATGGAGCGTATCATGAAGGCACAGGCACTGCGCGATACTTCCATGTCTTCTTACATGTCCTCAAAGAAGACATTCGAGATTTCGCCCAAGTCACCCATCATTCGTGAGCTCAAGAAGAAGGTCGAGACTGATGGCGAGAACGACCGTACCGTCAAGTCCATCACCCAGCTTCTCTTTGAGACCTCTCTGCTCGTCTCCGGTTTCACCATTGAAGAGCCCGCCAGCTTCGCCGAGCGCATTCACAAGCTTGTGTCCCTTGGTCTGAATGTGGATGAAGAAGCAGAGACTGCCGAGGAGAAGGCCGCTGAAGAAGCCCCTGCTGCTGAGGGAGCTGGCGAGAGCGCCATGGAAGAGGTCGACTAGACAGTTTCTCCCACGGCATAGATGTTCCATCGACGAGATCTCAAATATTCTTGAGCGACGGTCTTTGTGTCATCCCTATTGGCGTTCCGGTGTCAGACAGACGTGGTTGCCCTCGCCATGTTTTTTCTTTCAGCGATATCCCGGCAGTGAGTGGAAATGGATTGGGAAAGACTAGTGATGGGAAGGCTTGCAACGACCACCTAAAAGCGGACCAGGACATTAATGGAAGAAGAATGGGTTAAGCAGTGAGCATATCTTGATGGTTGTGGTCACAGCTTCCTGTATTCCATAGTTCCAATTGATTGCATGATTAGATGAACCCGTTTTCAATCTTCCTTGTTTAGAGGCCCAATCTGTAGAATTGGTCATTGGCCGTGTCTATACGTTAAGAGGTTGTTCACGCCATCCTCGTGCCTCGCTTTGTACCTCGCAGGTTTGTAGATATGCGGCCAAGTGAGGGCGGGCGCCAAGCGACCTTCTCCGGACCCCTGCACCAGCTGCTGCTTGTCCCCAAGAGGAAATTCCGCAAATCGCAATGGAACATGCTGTCCACTCTGATGCTGCTTCGCTTTCACCACCTTTGACAGACTGGCAATCCACGAGCAAAATGTCGCCGTCTGCCGATATGACAAGCATTCCACTATCCTGATAAACTATTTATATTGCCTACCCGAGTACCTCGTACTGACTCCGTTCACCCGCTCCGGAGGCGCTGTGCGCTCGCCCCCCTTCAGCCTCCTCTCCCTGTGCCCTCCCACCTATTACGCATACACTGCTGGCAAAAGATCTTTCCTTCCTACCCAGCAACTCTCCCTTACGATATAATAATCGACTATGGCCGTCAAATCGCGGTTTCACCGGCTAGACGCGTTTACAAAGACTGTCGAAGATGCGAGGGTGCGGACGACCTCCGGTGGTATCGTGACGATTGCCTCGATCCTTATTATTCTCTACTTGGTGTGGGGAGAATGGAGCGACTACAGGAAGATTCTGGTTATGCCAGAGCTGATTGTGGACAAGGGACGAGGTAGGAAACCCCCGAATCCAGGGTCGACAGTCGCAGGTGTTATTTTAGAGGAAGATACACAAATCGAGGTGCAGTTGCTGACCTGGTGTTTGCGGTCTACGTAGGCGAAAAGATGGAAATCCACCTCAACATCTCCTTTCCTCGCATCCCTTGCGAACTCCTCACTCTCGATGTCATGGACGTCTCGGGCGAGCAACAGACGGGCGTCGTCCACGGTGTCAACAAAGTACGCCTTTCCTCCATCGCCGAGGGTTCCAAGGTCCTCGACACAACCGCCCTGGTCCTGCATAACGAGCAAGACAACGCCGCCCACCTGGATCCAGATTACTGCGGCTCCTGTTACTCGGCCCCTCCGCCGGCCAATGCCTCGAAGCCGGGCTGCTGCAACACGTGCGACGAAGTGCGCGAAGCCTATGCCTCCAACAGCTGGGCGTTTGGACGGGGCGAGGGCGTGGAACAATGCGAACGGGAAGGTTACGGTGAAAGACTCGACGCACAGCGCCAGGAGGGGTGTCGTATCGAGGGCGTCCTCCGGGTGAACAAAGTCGTGGGAAATTTCCACATTGCACCCGGTCGCAGCTTCTCCAATGGAAACATGCACGTGCACGACTTGAACAATTACTTCGACACGCCTGTCGAGGGTGGACACACGTTTACACATGAAATCCACTCGCTGAGATTCGGCCCGCAGCTGAGCGATGATGATAGGGGAGTAACGGCGAAGTGGAGTGATCATCACCATGCGAATCCTTTGGACGGCGTGAAGCAGGAGACGGGGGAGCCGGGGTTCAACTTTATGTATTTCATCAAGGTGGTGAGTACGAGTTATCTGCCGCTCGGGTGGGATGAGGATCGGAGTGTGAAACAGCACTCGTCCCTCGCGGATCTGATACCGCTGGGAATGCAGGGCAAGGGCGCCGGGAGCCAGGGCTCGATCGAGACGCATCAGTACTCTGTCACATCACACAAGAGATCTCTGAGCGGTGGAAATGATGCGGCCGAGGGACACAAGGAGAGACTACACGCGCATGGAGGGATCCCCGGCGTCTTCTTCAGTTACGACATCTCCCCGATGAAGGTGATCAACCGCGAGGCGAGGCCCAAGACCTTTGCCAACTTTTTGACGGGTGTTTGCGCGGTTGTGGGAGGGACGCTGACGGTGGCGGCCGCGATTGATAGGGGACTGTACGAAGGGAGCACGAGGTTGAAGAAAGTTCATCAGGGGTGACATATAGAGAGAGAGAGAGAGAGTAGAGTGATCCTTTTGGGAGGAAAATATGACGGAGCCATTTTGCATCCAGCATGGGCGTTGTATGGTAGCATTGCCTGCGCGGACACACGGCAGAAACGTGTGCCTATATCCAAAGAAAAGAAAACGGGCTTTTTGACTCCTTTTTCTTGAAATATTGGGCCAAAATAAGACGGCCAGTTCGAGTTCGAGCACTCGAAGTCCCAGTGTCCGATTCTTTCCTAGCCCTCCTTTGCCCTTTTCCTGGGGTTGTGCGTTCCCTCTTCACGTTCAGCACGACCACCTAGCCTAGAATGCCACAAAAGATGGGTTAGCAAAGACGATTCATAAAGGATATAGAGTGATCTTTTTTTGACCCGCAGAGTGAAGCAACAGAAGAAGAGGAAGAGAACAAAGACTTTGTCTCTATTCTTCCTTTCTTTTTGTATTCAGAAAAACCAGTTTCTAAGCATCGACGCCACGCAAGACCCCTCCCGCAAGAAGAAGCAAAAAAAAAACATTTGACGATGCTTTTTTTTTGGTTCTTTCCTCTTCCGTCCTCCCCTTTCCCAAAAAGGAAGGGGTTTGGGTTAGAAGATGAAGCGGGGGGTTTTTGCGAGCATTCCTTTTCCGGCTCTTCCTAATGCCGTGAGGTTTGTTGTTCATCATGTTTTGGCTTTGGAGGGATTGAAGAAAGAAGGGGGGCACAGGGAGGATTTTGTGCGAGGTGATGAAGGAGACATACACACACCACACCCACGCTGGAGGAAGGGGAGAAACGTACCTCACCAGAAGGATTCCTTTACGGTCGCCCCTCGAGGTCAATTTCACATAGGTGATTGGTTGTCCAGATGGCCATCCGACAAGAAAATACAAGGCGTTGCATGTTTCAAGATACGTGGCGATCAAGGCCCTCAAAGGTGCGTGATGGAAGTTGTGGTGAAATGCAGAGAAGATGAATTTATGAGGTGCCTCTTTTTAATGCTGAATATTGGCTTTGCCTCATTAGGAAAGGTCGTTTTTGTTCTTGATCTAACCTGTTTCAGCATACGTCAATAGACGGTATGTAAGGGAATTTGAACATGCACGACATGTCATGCTTGTCTTGTCCTCTGCCGTTGCTTGAGAGGTTGTCGATGGCGTTGTCGAAAGAGTGAGGATACTTCTTTTCAATTTCCCCCAACCAGAAGATGATACTGTCGTCTCGAGCCACGCCAACTGCAGTTGGACGACTGTACGATATCCTTCGTCCGCGACTCGTTGCTCTCAGCCAGACTTCCAAGTTCTCATTCCAGAACCTCCCTGCTTTCTAGCTGTGCTCCGACGTCTTACTAACCCACTCTATAGCCACAATATCATCGGCAGGAGCTTAAAGAGGCATCTCAACCCCGTCCTTGTCGCCTGCCGAGTAACAAGTCAACCCAGTCAGCGGGAGCACAGGAGCGATTCGAGCTTCGGCTCTACACACACGGCGCTCGTGTTCCACTTGCGAGACATCAGAAAAGCATGACAGCATCTGGTAGTACTTTAAGTCTCAAGCGACTTACGAGTCGACCAGTGCTTTTGACCTTTTTCTGCCGACATTGCGGAATGAAAAGTGGCGGGCTAGGTAGGCAGTACGCCAGAAACAAGAAACCTCACACTCCCTTAACATAACGGTGAGAAGATTTCATTGTTGGGGCTAATGTACTCACGGCCCCCCCGTTATGACTGTGCATACTTGATACGGGTTGCACTTTCACCCAGGCGACCCCGCGCCCGATATTTAACCAAGGTTTTACCAAATGCATCGAGTAGCCTAGGTCCAGCGGCACTACCGGCGGATAGCGGGGAGGAGGTCGCCTCTGAAGCCAAAGAAGCGAGGTATCTTTGAAACGGTCTATGGGGCCTGAAATACTCCTATAAGTACGACGCAAGGATACGGGTATCACAGAAGAAGAGGGCAGCTTGTGTTGACAGCCAAGAGACTCTCTCAGGAAGAATATAGAAGTCGCTCTTATTCAGCTTGGATGTGTCGAGGCAACCAGAATTGACATCCACGCAGAGAACAGTTGCGTCGCATAATACGTCGCCGTCACGATGAACGGGCATTTGGATGCATCCAGCCTGAAGGACAGGTCAGTCATTGTCACAGGTAATTCCTCGTCAGCGCATTCTGTCATATCAAAACCCTGATGAAAACTACAAGGAGGGGCTTCTGGCATCGGCCTCGCAGCCGTCACACGCTTCGCGGAAGGTGGAGCCTATGTCACCATCGCAGACGTTCAAGATGCTCTCGGAAACAAAGCGGCTGCTGATCTCAACGCCAAGGGCTGTCATGTCTCCTTCGTCCACTGTGACACAACCGACTGGGAATCGAGTGTGGCGGCATTCAAACATGCTGCTTCCTTTGGGCCAAACAAATCTCTGGACGTCGCCTTGCTGAATGCTGGTGTAGGAGGCGACAGAGGTAGCTTGACAGACCAAGTGCTGGCAGCTCCTGAGCCTTCATTGGATCCCGACGTTATTCCAACCCGTCCGAGCCGCAAAGGAGCCGCTGTGAACTTCCTGGGAGTATATGACAATTGCTGGTTGGCGTTGCACTATATGCGTCTGCCCTCGCAGGTCGAACCAACAACCAACACACCGCAAAAATCAATAATCCTTACTGCTTCTCTGGCAGCTTATGCTGACATGCCGGCCTCTTCTGATTATAATGCTTCAAAATGTGAGTACACTTCTCTGTTGAACAGTTGCATGAGAACTTTGACACTGACTCAGTGTGATAGTTGGCGTCCGAGGCCTTTTCCGAGGGCTCCGACATACAACTGCTGCGCTCAATGTCCGTGTCAACCTGCTCGCGCCTTACTGGATCAACACGCCCCTCGTTCAGTCAGCCCTGCCCGCGTTGGAGGCAAGAGGGTTGAAGCCAGGTCAAGGATTGTCGTGGGCTAGCATCGATGATGTGGTCGATGCCATAGTTAGATCCGCTACGGACCCGAGTGTTGGCGGTAAAGCTTGGGCGATTTGGCCAGAAGGCTACATTGACATGGGAGAGGACGAGGCTGGGGGGTGGGCAGGCGATCATTTGAGGAAGCACTGGGAAATCCAGAGACAGAAGGGTGATAACATGCTGTAAGAGTTAGAGAGTCCCCGTCCCGGCCCGACCTTGTCTTGATGGATCCTGCGGGTAAGGAGTGCGAGGCAGGCCGTGGTTCCCGTGAGCTGGAGGAAGACCACTAGGTAGTTACCGTCCGCACACAAGTTCTATTTTGAATCAGAACGTTATTCGCTGTCCATCATCGTAGATCGGATTTCTCATCAGCCGAAGGTGCGAAGTGCACAGGACTACCTAAGCGAGTGGATAGATGAAGAACCCCACCACATCGCGATGCAGGATCATTGAATATGCATAGGAAAGAAACGTGGTCAAATATCGTGGTCCACAAATACACAGAGATACAAGTACTGACGTAGGAATGTTGGCTGAGAAGTGTGGCTCGGGAAGAGTCGATCTTTGGTTGATCCTTGTCGCAAGTCAACGGGCAAAGTCCGGTTAATTAAACAACCCAACATGTCTAATGTGGCATTTCCACATGCGGCACTCTGATGTCGACCAGTTTTCCCATTCCTCACACTTTGAGCGCCTGCATTTGGGCTATAGCCTTGTTTCGCTCTAGTTTTCGGCTTTTCTAGTTTCAAGCACAGGCGCAAGATTGCCGGCCAGTGAAGCACTTACGTGGGCGAAAAGAACCCCGTTCTCGCAGCCCATATGCCTGTCAATGGGGTTCAGCACGAGGAGGATTTGCTAGATTCAGGTAACTTGGTCATAGCGGTCCATATGGTGGTCTTGTGCTGACCTGTGGAAAGACAATTATGACCCTATCGAACACCTCGATCAGATATTCTCACACCCTTCGACACTCTCGTCGGTCAGCCAGACCTTCGAAATCCTCCAAGCCTATCAAGATGACCTTGACGACGAAATCGAGGCTCTCGAAGACGAGCAGATACAGTCAAACGCAGAATGTCTGCAGCGAATGGAAGCCTCGAAAGCCGAGCTGGCGGAGCTCTTCCAACGCATCGAGAGTGTCCGGGAGCGGGCACTGCGTACCGAGCGAAACATCACCGAGATGACGGCGGATATTAAGCAATTGGACAATACAAAGAAGAATCTCACGCTTTCGATGACAGCGTTGAAGAGACTGCAGATGTTGACGACCGCCTATGAACAGCTGCGGGCCATGAGCAAAACGAGACAGTACAGAGAATGCGCGCAGCTCCTGCAGGCGGTGATCCAGCTCATGGCGCACTTCAAATCCTACCGGTCAATCGACCAGATCGCGACGTTGAGCAGGAATGTAGCAGATATACAGAGAGAGTTGCTGGAACAAGTGTGCGAGGACTTCGAGATTACCTTCAGCAAGGAAGAGGTGGCTCAGAAACGAGGACTGCTTCACGAGGCGTGTTTGGTAGTTGATGCTCTGGGTGATGCTGCCCGGTCACGGTTGACCACCTGGTATTGTAACACGCAACTTCGTCAGTATCGGCATATCTTTAAGGGGGACCAGGAGGCGGGATCGCTTGACAATATTGATCGGAGGTACGCATGGTTCAAAAAGACGCTCAAGATATACGACGAGGAACATGCTGCCATCTTCCCTCCGCACTGGCGGGTCAACGAGATCCTTGCCAACGTCTTTGCTGAAGGAACACGAGAAGACTACAAGGGCATCTTGTCTAGGACTACCCGCAACGGTCAGACCATTGATGTCCAGCTGTTGTTGTCATGTTTGCAGCAAACTCTGGACTTCGAGCACGCTCTCGAAAGGAGATTCAATCAAACGTCAAGAACCTCCATCGATACCATGGCATCAGCCAGTGACACACCAGTCTTTGGCCAGCCGATCTCGGACGCGTTCGAACCGTATCTGAGCTTGTGGGTGGAAGCACAGGATAAAGAACTCGCGGGCCTGATACCGCAATACAGGCAGCGGCCAACCAAACTTGCGGATGAAGAT